GAGAATCTTTGTTTTCTTGATGTTGAGCTTCAATCCATATTGAAGGCTACAGTCCTTGACCTTCTGCAGCAAGCACTTCAGTTCCTCCTCAGTTTCAGCAAGCAGGGTTGTGTCATTGCATAACGCAGGTTGTTGATGATTCTAGAGCTTCTTGGAGAAATGACTGCTTTGAGATTTGAGGCAGAAAATAAGCAAGGTGAGCTGGGAACATCTTTTCATACAATATTGCAAAGAAGCTAAGAAAGATGAATGAGGTCATGTCAAAAAGACTCATGAAACACATGAAGTAGTTCACTGTGTTAGCTTGCAATTCCCAAGGAGAAGCACAATGGCTTTGCCACCTCTTTACCAAGAGATGGTACTACTTCCAGATACAAGTATACATTAGAGATAGAGGACGTTTGGTTCCAGACCACTGCACTAAAGTAAGCCACACAGATTTCTTGGTTCTCATTACATATGAAAGTTACATTTATGCTATACTTTAGTCTTTTATGTATGCATAGCATTATGAAAAAACTTTAAACATTGTGTGAATTATCAACATGTGACACAGAGACTTAATACTGGAAAAAATGGCACTGACAGATTTTTGATATGAGATTACCAGAAACCTTCATTTTGTAAAAAAAACCCACACAAAAGCATCCTCACCCCACTATCTGCAAAGTGCAATAAAACAAAGCACAGTTTAAAAAAAAAAGTATGCCTAACTGATCCAGGATGTATTAAAAGAAGATGGAAAGAATATAGAAGATGGAAAGAATATACTGAGTCACTGTATCAAAAGGAATTGGCAGACACAGAAGAATTTCATGAAACAACATATGAGCAAGAGCCTATGGTGATGAAGGAAGAAGTTCAAGATGCTTTGAAGTAAATAGCAAAAATAAGACCCCAGGAATAGATGGTATAGCAATTGACATATTTCAGCTAACAGATGCTGCCCTGGATGTGCTGACAAGAAATGTGGAGAACAACCACTTGGCCAACTGACTGGAAGAGATCTATATTTGTTTCCATCCCAAAGAAGAGTGACCCAACAGAGTGTGGAAACTATAGGACAATCTCATTAATTTCACATGCATGCAAGATTCTACTGAAGATTATCCAAAAACGACTGGAACAACACATCAGCAGAGAACTTCCAGAAGTCCAGGCTGGGCTTAGAAGGGGCCATGGTATTACTAGGGATATTGTAGCTAATGTTAGATGGATCTTGGCTGAAAGCAGGGAATACCAGAGGAATGTCTATCTGTATTTCATTGACTATGCAAAGGTGTTTGACTGTGTGGATCATAACAAACTGTGGCTGACTCTCAGAAGAATGGGAATCCCAGAACACTTGATCATGCTAATGAGAAACCTATACTTGGACCAGGAGGCAGTCGTCAGAACAGAGCAAGGAAACACTGCATGGTTCAAAATTGGAAAGGGCGTGTGCCAGAAATGTGTCCTGTCTCCATAACCTTTTCAACCT